CAAATTTCATGCTTAGTTTCAATCTGGAAAAAATCATTCATTGTTTTGTTTTTGGGAAGATTGTAAAATATATACATTGTACTGATCGAATATCAAAAAATGCTGACCATAATCAGTTGGGGCACACATGCTGGCTATCTTGGTCTGCTCTGGTCCAATGGTAGACAACATGCTGACTGTTTAAAACTCTGAAATCCCTAGTTCCAGGCAGAAATCTTTTAACTTCAATAAATTCATCAATTTATTTCTATGATAAGTTATTACTCTTTATTTTAGCAAAGATAAACAGCTGACCTCAACAACTGAGGTAATCTATCATAAAACAGATAAAAACCTCTCATAATTCTATGTAAGATTCCTCTAGCAAACTGTTAAATCCTATCAGCTCCGGAAATTATAGTATCTGTAGACATATCCTTAACTTTTAACATGATTACCTCATGCTGATCTGTTCCAAATTTTCAGAAATTTAATAACAAGTGTGTTTTGGGATTTTTTTAAGAAGAAAAAAAAAAACTAAACCCTGTTACTTCAGCAGGTTGTATTAGAAAGTGTTGTATTGCTATTTATGCTGTGCATAAATCAAGATTGGAGGAAGATTTAAGTATATCCCGAAAAAAACTCAATTTTTTAAAGTTTTTCTTTGTTCGTAAAGCAATATATTACAATCATAATATTATGACAGTTTGTATTTCCCTGTTGACATAGTTTTTCCTTTTCTTGGTGGACCCTTTATAAACATGTGTGTCAAATTGCTTCTGAGTCCTAATTTTCCAAAAATTTCAATTATCATTCAGTCACAATTTTGCATAATGTTAAAACTCACTTTCCTTATAAATTGGATTTTATGACTAAAAAAATCTTAGGTGGATTGAAAGAAGCTTGGAATTTTCATGTTACAATTTGAGTGCCAAAATCTTTAAGGTATTTCTTTAATAGCACATATAAAGTACTGTAGCCCAAAATGTAATACATATTATAAGTCATACAGTGTATCATATAGTTTACAGTGCTAGCATTTTACCAGACTGAATACAGTACAACCCATGTAGAGCAACAACCTTTGGGAGACCAATATTATGGTTGCTATTGAGAGGTGTTGTCTTAGAGTAGTTAATAAAGTAATTATGAAGTCTAAATTTTTGGCTCAGAGTAGTTAAAGTTATAATTGTGAAGTCTAAATTTTTTAGCCCAGAGTAGTTAAAGTTATTGTGAAGTCTAATTTTTGACTTAGAATACTTAAAGTTATTGTGAAGACTAAATTTTTGCCTTAGGGTAGTTAAACTTATTGTGAAGTCTAAAGTTTTGCCTCAAGAGTAGTTAAAATTATTGTAAAGTCTAAATATTTGCCTCAGAGTAGTTAAAGTTACTGTGAAGTCTAAATTTTTGCCTTAGAGTAGTTAAAGTTATTGTGAAGTCTAAATTTTTGCCTCAGAGTAGTTAAAGTTATTGTGAAGTCTTAATTTTTGCCTTAGAGTAGTTAAAGTTATTGTGAAGTCTAAATTTTTGCTAAGAGTAGTAATTTTTAAAGTTAATGTGAAGTCTAAATTTCTGCCTTAGAATACCGGTAGTTAAAGTTATTGTGAAGTCTATGTTTTTGCCTTAAAATACCTTTTAAAGTCTAAATTTTTGCATCAGAGTAGTTTAAATTATTGCGAAGTCTAAATTTGTTATTTAATTGATACTGTTGTTATGAATTAAGTTTATTGCTTTACTGAGTGCTGCTTTGCAGAAGTTCCACTGTATTAATTAAACTTTGGAAGGAAAATCGTTCTCATTGATGAAAACAAAAATAAAACACCATTGAAATCATTTTTCCCACTGGTATTGAATCTCATTCATTTAAGACAGTGAAATATGGAGGGTTGAATCATTGTAATTGATCACTTTTCTTTGTATCATTGTAAAAATACATGCTGTTGATTATTATCTGAACAATTTCTGCTGGAGATTATGATTAAATCTGTTGTCTCAGAACCGGAAACTTAAAATCACCGCCATTCTTAATAGTGGGAGATCTCAATCACCGCCATTCTTAATAGTGGGAGATCTCAGGGATTCTTTATTTGCATTGTAAACACATTTAATCAAAACTGTAAATGATTGCATTGTGTATTGTATTGGATATAATGCACAAAATTAAATATTTTTTTTTTAAAAAGCGTTTATTCTAATTTACCTTGTGCAAGTTAAATGAAAACACATTGAGATTGAATAATTTTGCTGTTCTTTTATGTCCTATAAATTGATGAAAAAATGTTAATTTTAACTCGAGAAAGATTAATTCAATAACATTGGGAAAAAAATATTAATTTTTTTTTTTGTCGTTTCTTTTATTTCACAGAAATAGTTTGTGCTTGTTATTGAAAAAAGCTTTTACGAAGCACACGTTATTGATTGCAGCAGACGTGACTCACACTCTACAATCCTTTTTAGGTTCACTTGGCTATCAAAGAGTGCGTGTAGCTGGAATACGGCAGATTCACGCAATATCGTAATGAATGCTCCCTCTCTAATAGCAAAAAACACAGCCAGATTTATGTTCTACATAGATGGGGGTACAAAAAAAATCTATGTTATTATTAAAAAGGAGAAAGTCGTGTTACACTACAAAATTAAACAGTATGATACTAGTTTAGATATGTCATGATATGTGAATAGATTACATCTGAATGACATTTTATAAATGAAGGTTTAACAATCTTGAGATTTTTTGTTCAGATGCTTGTACTTTATAGTTTATACTATTTAATTTTAGTTTAACTTAAAACCTCTTAATATAATATGTACCCATGTATAGTGTAAGAAACATAAGTTCATGTGATATAAAAAGTTTCATTAATCATGTAATTGGTTAGAGATTTTGTTGCCCTTCCCTTGCTCTTTGTAGCCATCTTGAACTTTGGTTGTGGCCACAATAAAATTGGCTTGTACCCATGATCCCTAAGTTGAAAGGCAGACACTTGAACCAGTACTCAGCGGCCAGTGCTGTACCAGATTTTACATGAAGAAGATATTTTTCATAGGAGTCACTATCATAATTTAACTATACATGTGTAATAAAGTATGATTGTCAATTTTCTACTCCAAGTAAAATTCTAATTCAAACTTCATTATAATTATGTGCATTTATAGTGTGATAGATTATTATCACACTAATGTTTATTAAATGGTTTATGAGATCAACAAATATGTGTATTAGAAAGATGAGCTTTACTAGGAACATTGCTGCCACTGCCTCTGACATATTTATACATATATAATTCATTATAAATTCTCTAGGGGGTGTTACATTATATCAGCAGTGACATTGCCACCGCCAGCATGTGTCATTATTTCTCAGAAAATAAACAAACAGTATAAATGACTGGATGGCATCAATTAACCTTTACCCTTGAATGTTTATGAAAGTAACATTTACTGCTTTGAATTAAGACCAGTTTATTCAACTTAATTGCCAGTTTTAAGGGAACTTTTTATTATCCCTTAATCACCAAGCTTAACATCTTTAATGAACTTGTTCATCTTTCAATCAGGACAAAATCAGTTATCATTTAAAGCAAACATTAAAATTTTAAAATAATTTACTTATGGAAGTGTCACCTGATCTTGTTCTGCACTGGTCACATGTCAATTTCAGGGTAAGACTTAAAAATACAAATACCAATTACATACTGTACAGAATCAATTCAAATTTGATGCATAGACAGGCTTCTGATATAATAGTTTGTAAAGTTCTTGTATAAAATTATAGAATGAAACCACAGGCAATTTCTTGGCCCTAGATCAATTACAAGATTTCAAACTTTTTGGTACTATCAGTGTGACTTTAAGTGTAAATGAATTGATAATGGTTGGTTAAACACAAATACAACAAAAACTTGAGTACTTATGGAAGAATACATGTGTATCAACATAATTTTATACTGTGTATTATGCATGCTATTATTTTATTAAAAACTTTTATTGAACATCATTACATCATTGACTCAGGTATCAACTTTGACGCAAGAAGTTGAAACTCTTGCTGTGATGTTATTTTGTTTGAAAATTGCTTTCAAGTCATCAAATTCTATAAGAAGAGTCATCAAATACTATAAAAAATTTCTGTCAACATGAAATGTTGCATGTCTGTGTTTCAGTATGGGATTTTAACTATCAGTGTTATTGCCTTTGTATGAATTGCTTTGTATTTATCAAGGTTATGATTAGCTGAATTTAGGACATGATTATAGCTGCATTTAGATCTAGTGGTACAAGAGTAGCTGCCCTTGTCTTTCAAATGATGACAGAATAGTGGCCCTTGGCTTTCAGGCATTACAGTCTGGTAATGGCCCTTTGTTTTTTCAAGTGCTACCAGAGTTGTGGTCCTTGATTTCACAAAGATTTCAGTCAGACTGGTAACATTTTGAGAACATTCAAATATATCAATTTATTTCATGCTTTCCAGTGTTTTATTGTAATATATCAGATGATTATATTCTGATAAACCACTAGTGAAATTTATAAAATATAATTTTCACTGTAGCCGGACTATATCTGAATGCGGATGAAAAGAAAATCATAACTAAATGGAAAAACAGGCAGAAATAAGTGCCGTCATGCGTCAATTTTGCTTCTTTAGGAAAAGAAAGTCGATGTCACCATACATCATGTTAAAAATGTAGCAAAAGTAGAGAAATTTAACAGAACTATATTTCAAAATTGATGATGTGACGCCATGATGTGATGACGTCACAAAGGAGAATGCGCGACGTTACGCGGTAAAATCAGTAAAACAATACTTAAAATCACTTAAAAAGCATGAAATAAAAAGAAAATTTATTTGTTTTACATATAAGATTGAAATATATTTCATTCGTGAACACCAGCTATTATATTTTCACTCGTGGCTACGCCACTCGTGAAAATATTGCATCTGGTGTTCACTCAGTGAAATTATATTTCAATCTTACATGCAAAACAAACAAATATCCTCTATATATTTTATTATTTTTCAGGGGTTTGATTCAGTTAAACAATGAGACATATATTATACAGCCACTGGCACAAGGAGAACAAACAGGGGTATGTTAAATACATTCTTATCAAAGTACTAAAATGATATTATAAATCAGTGAAATAATTATATTAATGACATTTTAGCTTCTTTTGATTCCAACATTCAACAGACCTGGAAGCTATGGTTTTAAGTCTCGATCTTTTGCACAATATTTTTTTCTGGAGAGAGATGTGTTTTTGAAATGTGTTTAGAAATCAATTTAGATCGAATTTTAAACAGCTTTTATTTAATCAGAGAATTACTGTTTGTGATGCAAATTTTTTGGTTATACAATAGATTTATTTAAAACATAAAATTTATGATATATTGGACACTATAGTTGCAACTTATATGATGTATGTGATGATGTACTATGTACAAATCAAAGAAATAAAAGTTCTGTTCTGTTCTATATTCTGATATTTCTTTCAAATGATATTATACATTAATTGTTTTATGATAAACTACATTAAAAGATTGAAGATTATAATAAATAAGTGATAAGTATAATGTAAGTCTGCATGAAAGGTATAGGATTCTTTTAATATGTGATATTGCAAAGAATTAGCAGAATTGAAGAACAAACTGAAGAAAGGCAATATCTGCATTTAACAGATTATTTTCATATCAAAAGTGTGCATAGTACATGTATGTAATAGTTATTTAAAACGGTTTAAATTATAAGATATACATGTAATAGTAATGCATACTTCTTTTTTTCTAGTAATGCATTATAACTCTTGCACAGAATGTAGGAAAGAAATAAAACATGCTATTTCTTTGACTGATTTTTGTTGCTGTATTTTTTTTTCTCAAAGTAATGAACAAATGAGCCGCGTCACGACAAAACCAACATAGTGCGTTTGCGACCAGCATGGATCCAGACCAGCCTGCGCATTCGCGCAGTCTGATCAGGATCCATGCTGTTCGCTATCAGTTTCTCTACTTGTAATAGAGTTGGTAAGCGAACAGCATGGATCCTGATCAGACTGCGCGGATGCGCAGGCTGGTCTGGATCCATGCTGTTCACAAACCCATTATGTTGGTTTTGTCGTGACACGGCTCAAATTATTCACATATAATGGAGAGGCATTGAGTTAATTTCTACAATTAGAGGAAAAATCTCTAGTATTTAGATTCATGATTTGTGTAACAGAGGAAAAATCTGCCAGTATTAAGGTGTGAACAGAATTGAGCGTAAAACTTAAAGAAAATGAAACACAAACATTTAAACACTCCTGGGAAGTTTTATTTCAGTGCAAAGTACTTGGCGGTGAAGTATTTCCAGCAAACATTGCAATTGTTTTTCTACATAAAACACATGGGATATAATAGAAAAAAGTAGCTCCCCCCATTAAGCTTGCTAGACTCTGATCAAACAATAATGATGTTCTATAACTGAAGTAATATCTGGGGAAATTTGTTATCTTATGCAAAATCTATATTGGTTTTTAAACAAAAAAACATTTTGTTTACTTGCATGTGTTTCTTCACATCCTTTGCTGGAATGGCTGGTATAAAGTTTTTTCTTTAAGCAAGTTTTTTCCCCCCAGAAAAATGCTATTATTAAGTAAAAAAGCTGAAAAAGAATGGAAATAATAATTGTAAAATGTATTTCTTTGTATGACTCATATTGAATATAAACAAGACAATTTTGTTGTATTTTTGCCTTTTTCTGGCTTTATAAAAGCATGTGAAAACAATCTTAATTTTTGTTTGTTTTCTAAAGAGTCACTAGATCATGCAAATGGTTTCTAATATGCAGTTTCTGGGCAGTGATATAAGTGCTGGACAATTACAAAAGTATTGGACAATGACGTAAGTACTGGACATTGACAGTGACATTTATTCTGGACCATTACAAAAGTACTGGACAATGACGTAAGTACTGGACATTGACAGTGACATTTATTCTGGACCATTACAAAAGTACTGGACAATGACGTAAGTACTGGACATTGACAGTGACATTTATTCTGGACAATTACAAAAGTACTGGACAATGACGTAAGTCATGGACATTGACAGTGACATTTATTCTGGACAATTACAAAAGTATTGGACAATGACGTAAGTCATGGACATTGACAGTGACATTTATTCTGGACCATTACAAAAGTACTGGACAATGACGTAAGTACTGGACATTGACAGTGACATTTATTCTGGACAATTACAAAAGTACTGGACAATGACGTAAGTACTGGACATTGACAGTGACATTTATTCTGGACAATTACAAAAGTACTGGACAATGACGTAAGTACTGGACATTGACAGTGACATTTATTCTGGACAATTACAAAAGTACTGGACAATGACGTAAGTACTGGACATTGACAGTGACATTTATTCTGGACAATTACAAAAGTACTGGACCATGACGTAAGTCATGGACATTGACAGTGACATTTATTCTGGACAATTACAAAAGTACTGGACAATGACGTAAGTCATGGACATTGACAGTGACATTTATTCTGGACAATTACAAAAGTACTGGACAATGACGTAAGTACTGGACATTGACAGTGACATTTATTCTGGACAATTACAAATATACTGGACAATGATATATTTCTGCACAATGACATAAGTACTGGACAATCACATTATTAGTACTGGACAGTGATGGAGAAAGAATCTAGAACAATTCATATAAGCTTATAGCTTTTGTAACGATTGATGTAAAATAAATATATTTCATGTACTGAATTAGATATTTGATGATTAGTATAAAATTATTGTGATTTTAGGGTGACCGTCCACATATCGTGTACAAAGCTACCAGTTCGGAGAAAGAGAAATGTGGGAATGATCATGGAAAATGGCTGCCATTTCACGAGTTACATAAAGGAGAATTTATAAGAAAGTTGAAATACCTCAATGCACAACGAGTAAGATTTATTTAAACCTTTTGAGCACTATTTGTGCCAATAATAGACCACCATTATGCTGTCAGGTTGGCCTACTCCTCTGTGTGGTCTTATATTAAATTTAGTCCTTTACCTGCTGAATTAATGTTATATATTTTCCCTGCACTTTGGAACAGTCAATTAAAAATTAAAGGGGATTTCGATATCAAAATTTAGCTGCCAACAGTGTAGAGCCTGGTCAGACTGCATGGTTTTGTAGGCTGGTCTGACTATATACTGGTAGTAAAAGCAGGTCACTTTTGGATACAGCAGGAAATATTTTGATACAGAACACCCTTGATATAGTATTGACCTGTCCAAATTCAAAGAAGGAAAAATTCAGTAAAGTTCGGTTAATATTGTCTGTATATATGCCATTGTAGTGAGAAGTTTCTTTAAAATCCTTTAAATCATAATGGATGTTTTGCAATACAAACTTAAAAGCTAAGTCTATCTGCATCTCCATCTAGTCTTGACAAGATGCATTTTCTTTGATGTTGAAATTTGTATTTCTTTGATCTACAATTGTGTACAATTATGTGTGGATCCTTTCAAAGTAAGATGATGGCTTATCTAATATTGAACCAGGCTAGAAATTTGCTAGCATGTAAAGATGCAAACATGCATGTGTCAAAATAAAAGTAATCATAGGATAAAGGTTAGTCTTGTTGCATGTAAGGGAAGTAAGAAAATCTGTAACAAGTTTGTTATTATAGATTTAGCTCCCTTTTAAAATTTTGTTATTTAATATCTTACTGACTCAAGGAGCTTGATTAATTATCAGTATTTATTTTTACATTACAGACTTTAAACAAAGATGCTGCCAAAGTGACAACAAAGTATATAAAACTTGCCTTAATTTTGGATAATACGATGGTGAGTTGATTTATATTAGTACATCAGATATAACGGATTTAACTGTTCTGGGTTACCTTTTTCTCATCAGAGTTCTGTTGCATTAATTCTCATGTATAACTCAGACAGGGGCAGCAATATCAATTGTCAATGTTGCCATGGTTGTCCCACGGTCTGTACGGACAAGTGATATTTTTTCTAGAATTTACTGTATAATTATAAATCATACAAGTAGAAAAAAAAATACTGTGATAAAACAGACAAGTAAGTTAAAATCATATTTTGCAAGCCTAATATTACCTATGTAAATTGTTTATCAGACTGTTGTATATCATGTGAGATAATTAACATAATTATATATTTAGTATTGGTCATTGAATCTGACAGTAAAGCAGGTGTTGGAGTTTGCCATACAAACAACAAATATTGTGGACATGGTATGTGAATATATTGTACTTAATTTAATTTTATTAACATACTTTTTCAGTTATAATCCATGAAAAGGAAGTTGGAAAATCTTGATTTTAATAGTTTAATAAAAAGCTTTTTCTTTTAGCTTTAATTTATAAGGAAATTATGTTCTGATAAGTACAATGTACCATTCTTCTATCTGAGTAAACAAATACTAGTGATAAATAAAGATCCATGATTAAAGTCCCAAATGGGTTTGCACCATGACCTGTGATACCTGGCTTGATAGTTTGTCACATTTCCAGAAGCCATTTAAAATCTATACTTAATTTGAAATGTGGGGCTTTCCTGACAAAATGGTTAAGGTCTCTCCTATCAACCTTTTACCAGTGTAGGTTTGTATCCTGCCAGGGACTTTATATTCTTTCATTTGAGGAATATTCATTTTCTTGAGGAAAAGCTTCCAACACAATTGAGTATCATAACTTAGTATAAACTACTAGTACTGCAGAGTTGCCAAATGGTGTAATATCAGTTTGACTAAAACCGTGACAAATTATATGACTTGAGAATAATAAGTTTATTATATTAATTACAGTACTACAAGGAGTTAAACATACGTGTTGCATTAACATATGTAGAACTCTGGAACCGTGGCAACAGGATACTTATATCTCCAAAGCTCAGGGAAACTCTGGAAAACTTCATGAGATATCAACAACATAATTTACGAGGTGTTGATCACCATGCTGCTCATTTACTCACGTAAGTTTATGTAAATACTCATGTAAATTTATGTAAATATACAAGTTTATGTAAATGTCGTCTTATTAGAAAATATATCGTGCATGTCTGGTTCTACTCTGTTGCTCCCTTGTGTCTAAAATAAAGCCTAGTAGGGCACCCTAGGTATTTTTTCATCAGTAAAGCTGGAAAGTTGCCATATTACTTTAACAATGTCTGTAAAATGTTATATTAGATGATAAAACAAAAATGGAAATTTGCCTTAGAAATAAATTTTTGAGGTAGATATTGAACAAATGTTGTTGGGAAAATCACTTATCATGCCTAGAGAAACACCTTTTAAGTAAAAAAAAAATCAAAAATTGACGGATATGTCACAATATGAAAACGTTGTTATTAAATTGGCACTATGCATGTCACATTGACAATTAACTTGGTTGAGATCCTATTTATATTAGTGGCTTAATGGTTTTGGATTATTTATCCCAGTTATTATGCCCCCATTTCGAAGAAAAGGGGGTATATTGCTTTGCACTTGTCGGTCCGTCGGTCTGTCGGTCCGTCGGTCCGTAGACCAAATGGTTTCCGAGTGATAACTAAAGAACCCTTAGGCCTAGGAACTTCAAACTTGGTATGGTGATTGGTCATGACCAGTAGATGACCCCTATTGATTTTTGGGTCAAGGGGTCAAAGGTCAAGGTCACATTGACCTTGTAAGCGAAAACGGTTTCCGATCAATAACTAAAGAACCTTAAGGCCTAGGAACTTCAAACTTGGTATGGTGATTGGTCATGATCAGTAGATGACCCCTATTGATTTTGGGGTCAAGGGGTCAAAGGTCAAGGTCACATTGACCTATTAAGCAAAAACGGTTTCCGATCAATAACTTAAGAACTTTAAGGCCTAGGAACTTCAAACTTGGTATGGTGATTGGTCATGATCAGTAGATGACCCCTATTGATTTTGGGTCAAGGGTCAAAGGTCAAGGTCACATTGACCTCTTGGGTAAAAACGGTTTCGGATCAATAACAAAAGAACCCTTAGGCCTAGGAACTTCAAACTTGGTATGGTGATTGGTTATGACAAGGATATGACCCCTATTGATTTTGGGGTTAAGGGTCAAAGGTCAAGGTCACATTGACCTTGTAGGTAAAAACGGTTTCGGATCAATAACAAAAGAACCCTTAGGCCTAGGGACTTCAAACTTGATATGGTGATTGGTCATGATCAGTAGATGACCCCTATTGATTTTGGGGTCAAGGGGTCAAAGGTCAAGGTCACATTGACCTCTTAGGTAAAAACGGTTTCCGATCAATAACTAAAGAACCCTTAGGCCTAGGAACTTCAAACTTGGTATGGTGATTGGTCATGACCAGCAGATGACCCCTATTGATATTGGGGTTAAGGGGTCAAAGGGCAAGGTCACATTGACCTTGTATGTTAAAACAGTTTCCGATCAATAACTAAAGAACCCTTAGGCCTAGGAACTTCAAACTTGGTATGGTGATTGGTCGTGACCAGCAGATGACCTATTGATTTTGGGGTCAAAGGTCAAGGTCACATTGACCTTGTAGGTAAAAACGGTTTCCGATCAATTAACTAAAAACGCTTAGGCCTAGGAACTTCAAACTTTGTATGATGATTGGTCGTGACCAGCAGATGACCCCTATTGAGTTTTGGGTCAAGGTGTCAAAGGTTAAGGTCATGACCAGTAGATACTTGATAACCCTTATTAATTGTTTGATCACTGGGTCAGAAGTCATGCATAATAACCTTATCACATGACTAATTGGCTGCTGATAGGGGGCATACATGTTTTACAAACATATCTTGTTTATATTTATCATAATCAATTGTATTTTTTGGAACATTTTGTTATAAATAACATTCTGTGAAACTTATATTTTGATATTTCAGTCGTCGGAAGTTTGAAGATAGTACCATAGGAATGTCAATTCCTGATTCAGTGTGTACAGGAAGAGCTGGTGGTATCAATACAGTAAGTACATCTCCTCTCATGTTCCTATGAAAATAAATTAATTACAAAAATGTACTCTATGTCTGTATAATGCAAATTACATCACGTCAAAATATATGCACTGCCATGTAACACCATTTTTACGGAGTCACAAAAGTGTCATGGGTATCTGAGAGATAATGCTTCTTGATATATAGTTCATTTTTATTAAGCATGTTTAATTAATGATAAAGTCAAGAATTTTGCAAGTGCGTTAAAAAAGTAAATCCAAAGCTCTTCTTAAGGCATTATTTGTGTTATTAGCCAATTTAATAGTTTTAAATATAACCGAAATGAGGTATTTTGAATTATGCACATTTTTTGTTTTCCTTTAGAATCCCAGTTATCTAGAGCCACAGAAAGGGGCAACTATTCTATCTCACATGATTGGACATAATCTCGGAATAAAGCATGATGAAGATGGTACGAATATTTATTCTATTTTTAGATAAAATTTGGGGGAGATACATGTATATGTAAAAAATGCGGGGAATTTCACTGCCTAGATTAGATTAGATATAATGCTTTTGGTGGTCTTAGAATAGAAAGTAGTTTTACACTTGCAAGCACCTTATGTGATACAATGTACATAGAAAATAACATTGTTTTAACATATTTTCAGTTGAAACATGTGTTTTGTTAATCAAAATGTTTTAAGGAAAATTATTTACTGTTGTTTAAATAAAAGCAAACTTTTTAGAACTGTTTGTTTATAACTTTAAGATAGTAAAGTATTAAAGGTTGTTTATTTGTGTTAGTTTTTTCTATCAAAATAAATATTTCAAAACATGTAGATTTAAATGTAGAATGGTCAACAAAATCTTAAGATAATAATGTTTAAATGATTTTGTATCTCCTTGTTGTCTTACCAGTCTATGTGTAGATAGTGAAAATTCAATTTTCTCTGTTTTTATTCAATGAAAATTAATTCAATGTATTTGAATTGAAATGTGTTATGATGACTTGTTACTAATAAAATGATAACACTCTAATATAAAATTATGTCAAAGACTTTCTTTGTATACCTCAGTCCTTTGTTTAACTTACTTTCTTATCAAGTTTGTATGTTGGTGAAAGTAATCCTGACAAAGTCAAGTTTTAAAACTGTTAATACTTTCTTTTACTTTTTCTGTTGGGAGGGGTAGGGATGCAAACAAAAGTAAAAAGACCCTTATGTTTCAACTACTACAAATTCATTGTCATCGCCACACTAAACTTTAACATGCTGGAAGAAAGCAGTCCAAATGTTTACAATAATGGCTAATCTTAGAAAGGCTTGCACGAAAATACTGAAAATGAGATGTCATTGATATATATAATAATTATTGATTTTTTTGTAAGACAAAATAAAACATTGAAAGGGTAGAGTGAATAAAAAGCAAAGAAATGTTTTTTTGGGTTTGTCTGAAACCATGTATAACTAATATGTGATGTATTTTTTAAACTGCTAACAGTGGACTGGAGATATTTGTATCATGAAGGTATTGTTATATTGTGATGGCTTTTATGTTGTTTTGATGTTGTTTTTCTGCACTATAAACAGTAACTGAAAGGAAACAGGAAAAAAGATACAGTGTAGTGGACAAATTTAGTGTTAAGATTATGTTATGAATATGTCCTGCTTTGACATGCCAGATGATTTAATTATCATAATTTCTAAAACCTGACCAACAGTATAAGGGTCTGGTCAGACCGGAGACAGATGTGCAAAGTCATCACGGCTCTATACTGAAGACTGAGAACTGGTTCTGTGTGTTCTTTGCTTAATTAGGATATATCTATCTAGGGAGTACAACATATAGCATTATACTATCAAGTACATATATCCCTGACACCTGTTTTTTTTAGCTCGACTATTCGAAGAATATGAGAGCTATTGTAGTCGTAGTCAGCGTCCGCGTCGGCGTCTGCGTTGGTTAAAGTTTTTTGTAAAGTCAAATATCTCAATTATTGCTTGAGATATTCAATTGAAACTTACAATACTTATTTATAGTAACAAGGTACATCAGATTGACAAGTTGGATAACTACCTACAATATTGACAGAATTATGCCCCTTTTTAACTTAGAAATTTTGGTTAAAGTTTTTTGTAAAGTCAAATATCTCAATTATTGCTTGAGATATTCAATTGAAACTTACAATACTTATTTATAATAACAAGGTACATCAGATTGACAAGTTGGATAACTCTGCCTACATTATTGACAGAATTATGCCCCTTTGAAACTTAGAAATTTTTGTTAAAGTTTTTTTGTAAAGTCAAATATCTCAATTATTGCTTGAGATATTCAATTGAAATTTACAATACTTTTTTATAGTAACAATGTTCATCATTTTGCAAAATTGCATAACTCTGTCTGCAATATTTGCAGAATTATTTGCCCCTTTGAAACTTAGAAATTTTGGTTAAAGGTCTTCAAAGATATTTACTTGAAACTTTACACAATCATGTACTTAGGGTCATAATTTGAGGGTCATAATTGTATGTCACTGACCAAGTTCCATAACTCTATCTTGCATTAAGGCTGATTCATATCCCCTTTTCTACTTAGTCTCCTGGTTAATGTTTACATGCAAGTTTTACATATCTCAATAACTATTAAAGATATTTATTTAAAACTTCACATATGCATTAAGGGTCAGAATTGTAGGTCACTGACAAAGATACATAATTCTATCTTGCATTTAGGCTGATTTTTCTTCCCTTTTTCAACTTAGAAATTCATGGTAAAGTTTTGCTTGTAAGCTGTTATCTCCATAACTACTAAAGGGTTTGTGCCTTTTTTGGGACAATTTTATGCATTCATAATAATAAAGCAGTGATTTACTTGATAAAACATCTTAATAACAAGCCTTTGTACCTTTTCTGTCAATTTTATGTATTCATAGGTAATTAGTATTATTATACTCAATAAAACACCATTGTGACATTACCTTCCAAATAGTCAAACCAATACTGTAATTAGACTCTCTCTAAGGCCTATTACATGAATTTATAAAAAAATTTAGCCCTTTTGTGAACTTAGAAAATTTAACATTGTCAAGGCTCTTTTACTATCAAGCACTTAGAATAGTCGAGCGTGCTGTCCTACCGACAGCTCTTGTTATTGCCATATGGTTTCAAAAAGTTGATTTATTACAGTGTTAAAGAATGGTAGAAGTTTTTGTGTTTGGTGTTAGTGGAAGGTATCAACATGTACTGGTGTTTGTATAAGTGGTGTTTCCTGCATATAATCTCATGCTTCCTTTCTTACAAATCTTCTCCTTCTTTCATAATGCAATATAATAGGCTTACAGTGCTGTTAAAGGAAACAGACTTCTTTCATAATATAATATAATAGGCTTACAGTGCTGTTAAAGGAAACAGACTTATTTCTTAACACCTCTTATTTACTATTATAATTGTGTACATAAGTTACAATTTATTTACATCCTTTGTCTAGGGACTTATTGAAATTTAAGTTTATATAATCCTGTAATTATGGTAACATACTGTAAAACAGAGATGAGACAACAATGAGAAATAATCTTTTGCAAAAGAAAATGTTATTTCTGCTTAATATTAAGAATATTTGCTAACTTAAATGATACTTAGAAAGCTTTCATTGCTTGCCTTGCCAAGCTTCAATGCCTACATTTTCTGTAGTATTTTGAACATACTTTTGAAAGAAATTCTTATGGTTTTGTTTACAATCTTGAAACTTACTTGCATCATGTTAATGGGTTTAAGATGCCAGTTGTTTTCAAAATCATAAAGGTGTCAAAAATAAGCACAGATTGGTCTTCCTAAACCATTTCGTAGATGGGCCTGACCCGTATAATTCTAATTATCAGATAAGTGGATACATTAAGATTTTCACCACAACATTTTTGTTAACTATTGAGCATGGGAAACGGACTAAAGCCCTCCTGGACAAAAGCCCTCCTGTCCAAAAATGACAATGCGGACAAAAGCCCTCCCGTAAAAATAACAAGGCAGACAAAAGCCCTCCCATGAAAATGACAAGGTGGACAAAAGACCTCCTGTGAAAATGACAGGGCGGACAAAGGCCCTCCCATGCAAATGACTGGGCGGACAAAAGCCCTCCCGTGAAATTAACAAGGCAGACAAAAGCCCCCCCCCGTAACAAAATATGTATGTATGTTACATGCCTGTGTTTTTTTCAATGCACTTAACATATTAAATTTGTAACATATATATTTGTTGTTGTTTTCTATTGGTCTAAGTATTTTTATGAGCTAGAACCACCTTTCATTCAGAATATACCTTTCAGAAATATTTAACAAGGTAACATTTTCACATGAATGTCGTTTTAAAAAGTCACTTTTAAAAGTAATTGACTCATTACAAGGCACATCATACATGTCTCGGACTTATAATTTTAGTTAATTTAAACTTTTTTTCATCATTTATTACTCTATTAATCTTAATTTTACATGGGAGTAATCCTTCATTTTTACGTGAATAAATAAATATGCACTTACAGATTTTAGCACTTATTATTCAGATGCCTGTCAGGAATGTGCTCAAGCTCATACAAACAGTCGCTTATGCCAATAGAAAACAAAAATATTCATGATTACAATTTCAATATGTTGAGTGCATTGAACTGAAAATACAAACTATTCAATTTACATATATGATTGTATTTTCTGCGGGAGGGCTTTTGTCCACCCTGTTATTTTCACAGGAGGGCTTATGTCCACCCAATCATTTTCACAGGAGGGCTTTTGTCTGCCCTGTCATTTTCACGGAAGGGCTTTTGTCCACCTTGTCATTTTTGGACGGGAGGGCTTTTGTCCGGGACGGCTTTTGTCCTATACTCAATGAGCACAGGTTGATGTTTGTGGTTCAAGGTCAGTGAATGTGTGACTTAAATCAGAAGGCTAAAGACTATGCCATACTTTTATCACCAACAATATATTGCTTTATTTTGTTGCATAGCAATTATACAACTCTGCCCCAAAAAAATTTTGATCTGAAATTGTAAAACATTGAAATACATTTTAATAGTACAACAGTTTTTGTAGTGATATAGGTAATTGGTCTTGTTAAATGTAGTCCAACTTACTGTACTGCGCATTGAGATATTGTGCTAGTTTGTGTATGGGGAATATCTTCCCATATAGAAGCGAGATTCTGACCCAGAACAAAAATATCTCAGTGTCTAGCTTTGCCACATTGAACTATTTTGACTACCTTAGAAGAGGTTGTTTTACTGCCTTGCTCTATCTTGTATCATTCTGTAAAGTTTTTTCGTGTATACAGAGAACATAATAATTATTTCAGGTTATAAACAAGCCAAGCAGTATATTATATATATTGTAAGACTGTTCCTTTTTAGCTCACCTGTCACAAAGTGACAGGGTGAGCTTTTGTGATCGCTTTTCGTCCGGCGTCCGTCCGTCCGTCCGTCCGTAAACTTTTGCTTTAAATGACATCTCCTCATAAACCACTGAGCCAATTTCATCCAAACTTCACAGGAATGTTCCTTTGGTGGTCACCTTTAAAAATTGTTCAAAGAATTTAATTCCATGCAGAACTCTGGTTGCCATGGCAACCGAAAGAAAAATCTTTAAATATCTTCTTTTAAACAACCCTAAGAGCTAGAGCTTAGATATTTGGCATGAAACATCTTCTAGTGAGTGTCTACCAAGTTTGTTCAAATAAAAGCCCTGGGGTCAAAATTGGCCCCGCCCCGGGGGGGTCATTGATTTTCCCTATATGCATATAGTAAAAACTTAAAAAATCTTCTTTTAAAGAACCGTAAGAGCTAGAGCTTAGATATTAAGCATGAAACATCTTCTAGTGAGTGTCTACCAAGTTTGTTCAAATTAAAGCCCTGTGGTTAAAATTGGCCCCACCCCGGGGGGTCATTGATTTTCCCTATATGCATATAGTAAAAAACTTAAAAAAATCTTCTTTTAAAGAACCATAAGAGCTAGAGCTAAGATATTTGGCATGAAACATATTCTAGTGAATGTCTACCAAGTTTGTTCAAATAAAAGCCCTGGGGTCAAAATTGACCCCGCCCCAGGTGGTCATACATTTTCCCTATATGCATATAGTAAAAACTTAAAAAATCTTCTTTTAAAGAACCCAAAGAGCTAGAGCTAAGATATTTAGCGTGAAACATCTTCTAATGAGTGTCTACCAAGTTTGTTCAAATAAAAGCCCTGGGGTCAAAATTGGCCCCGCCCCAGGGGGTCATTGATTTTCCCTATATGCATATAGTAAAAACTTAAAAAATCTTCTTTTAAAGAACTCAAAGAGCTAGAGCTAAGATATTTAGCATGAAACATGTTCTAATGGGTGTCTACCAAGTATGTTCAAATAAAAGCCCCGGGTGTCAAAACTGGCCCCGGCGGGGGGGGGGGGGTCATTGATTTTCCTTATATGTGTATAGCAAAAACTTAAAAATCTTCTTTGAAAAAACCCAAATAGCTAGAATTTAGATACTAAGCATGAAACATCTTGAAGTAAATATCTACAAAGTTTGTTCAGATAAAAGCCCGGAGGTCAAAACTGGCCCTGCCCCAGGGGTGTCATTGTTTTTAACTATATGTGTATAGAAAAAACTTTAAAAATCTTTTTTTAAAAACCCAATGAGCTAGAACTTAGATGTTTAGCATGAAACATCTTCTTATGGGTGTCTACCAAGTCTGTTCAAATAAACAAATAAAAGCCCGTGGGTAAAATTGGCCCGGGGGTGGGGGCCTATATACAGGTGAGCGACCTCAGGGCCATCATGGCCCTCTTGTTCTTTATAAATGTCAACATTATTTTCCTTCTGTTTTGTAATATGATAATTTTATTTCAGACAGTTAATTTATTATATTTTTTCATAAATTTTGTTGAATTGTTTAGAGATGTTGAAATATTTTGATTAATGTTAAAGGGTCATTATTTAACCCCTTTCAGTGCTAAATTTTTATAATGGACTTACCCGGTAACTTTGTATTGAATTTAGAACATTTCTTTAGTAGGTTAAAGGTTCCAGTACCAAAAATACATGAATTAAGCAGCTCTTCTCCAATTCTTAACTGCTGGCATAGTTTTGTTCTAATTGCCTCAAAATCCAAATTTTGATACAAATGGTGTGTTTTTTTAGCTCACCTGTCACAAAGTGACAGGGTGAGCTTTTGTGATCGCTTTTCGTCCGGCGTCCGTCTGTCGTCCGTCCGTCCGTAAACTTTTACTTTAAATGACATCTCCTCATAAACCACTAAGCCAATTTCATCCAAACTTCACAGGAATGTTTCTTTGGTGGTCACCTTTAAAAATTGTTCAAAGAATTTAATTCCATGCAGAACTCTGGTTGCCATGGCAACCGAAAGAAAAAACTTTAAATATCTTCTTTTAAAAAACCCAAAGAGCTAGAGCTTAGATATTTGAAATGAAACATCTTCTAGTGAGTGTCTACCAAGTTTGTTCAAATAAAAGCCCTGGGGTCAAAATTGGCCCCGCCATAGGGGGTCATTGATTTTCCCTATATGCATATAGTAAAAACTTAAAAAATCTTCTTTTAAAGAACCCAAAGAGCTAGAGCTAAGATATTTAGCATGAAACATGTTCTAATGGTTGTCTACAAAGTTTGTTCAAATGAAAGCCCTGGGGTCAAAATTGGCCCCGCCCCAGGGGGTCATTGATTTTCCCTATATGCATATAGTAAAAACTTAAAAAATCTTCCTTGAAAAAACCCAAATAGCTAGAGTTTAGATATTAAGCATGAAACATCTTCTAGTGAGTGTCTACAAAATTTGTTCAAATAAAAGCCCTGGGGTCAAAATTGGCCCCGCCCCGGGGGTCATTGATTTTCCTTATATGTGTATGGCAAAAACTTAAATTTCTTCTTTGAAAAAACCCAAATAGCTAGAGTTTAGATATTAAGCATGAAACATCTTCTAGTGAGTGTCTACAAAGTTTGTTCAAATAAAAGCCCTGGGATTAAAACTGGCCCCGCCCCGGGGGTCATTGTTTTTAACTGTATGTGTATGGCAAAAACTTGAAATTCTTCTTTGAAAAAACACAAATAGCTAGAGTTTAGATATTAAGCATGAAACATCTTCTAGTAAGTGTCTACAAAGTTTGTTCCATTAAAACTGGCCCGCCCCAGAGGTGTCTGTCATTGTTTTTAACTGTATGTGTATAGTAAAAACTTAAAAAATCTTCTTTTAAAAAACCCAATGAGCTAGAGGTTAGATTGTTAAGCAGGAAACATCTTTTTGTAGGTGTCTACCAAGTTTTCAAATAAAAGCCCTTGGGTTAAAATTGGCCCTGCCAAAGGGGGGGGAAGGTCATTGTTTTTCATTATATGTGTGTAGTAAAAACTTAACATCATGAAACATCTTCTAATGGGTGTCTTTGAAGTTTTTACAAATTAAAGCCCTGGGGTTTAAACTGGCCCCGCTCCGGGGGCCTATATACAGGTGAGCGAACTCAGGGCCATCATGGCCCTCTTGTATACTTTAAGGGACCAAAATAATGTTTGTATTGTAAATATACAAAAGATTTTATTGACACTAGCCATTTAAAGTGAAACATGTATTAAATCTGACACAATCAATGATTTGTTAAAAAGGAAACATAAGAGGTAATATTCCTTAATATTATGCAAAAAATATTATGCATGAGATATTGGTAGAAATAATAAAAATATTCAGCATTACTGTTATGTTAATAATTTGACATGATTTGAGATGGTTATATAACTTATATTTGACATGATTTGAGATGGTTATATAACTTATATTTGACATGATTTGAGATGGTGATATAACTTATATTTGACATGATTTGAGATGGTTATATAACTAATATTTGACATGATTTGAGATGGTTATATAACTTATATTTGACATGATTTGAGATGGTTATATAACTTATATATATGATGTAATTACAGGTGGGTGTAACTGTGGTGATGATTTTGGATGTATCATGTCTACTGAAGTCTTGTAAGTTTTATATTTCTTACTAATAATGTCAATACACAATGCAGTTCAAGATTTTAGATATAGCATTAATTTTGTATCCAAAGGTTTTTTGTGCACAATTTGCAAAAATGTTATGCAATGTATTTTGTTTATTGCAGTAAGTTTGTTGGGTTGTCAGTTGGTCTGTTGCATTTTACATGCAAGTAATAAAACTCAAAAAAACTATTCAAGGTTATTGATTTGAAACTTGGTTTTAATAGAGCTGTGTGGAAAATTCAATTTGAGGCAGTACAGTAATGGTTCTTATCTTATGGGCAGATTGCAGATTACATTTTGATATTCAATTTCTTTGTTATATTTATCATTGCACAAAGGAAGTTTTCAATTATGGATGAAATTTGATATGAGAGTGCATTGATAGTGCGGGGGAAATTTTAAGTTCTGATTCATCATTGGACTGACATGTCATGGTAAAATGTTTGCCATACTTGTTTACAGTATTACCTGTGACAGTTAATCTGGGACATTGAGTTTAATGGTCATTTGTCTCTCACTGCGGATTCAAAAATCATGTTGATAAGTAGTTTGTAACTTGCAGAGAAATTTGTATTTACTGGTTAGTTATCCAGGCTGGGTAGGTGGCTCGACCTCAAACATGTGACCAAAAGAAACGATAAACTCGGGATAAGAAATAAAAACATGAAAAATAAACAAATTTTATAGTAGAAGAAGTAAAAAGTAACATGAAATAAAACTAATACTGCTGTTAAACAGAATGCTCCAAGTATAAGATAAAGACATAGTTCATTAGCATAACTCTTTCAAGCAAAATATCTGGATTGTCTTCAGGGTGACCAGAGGTTGTAAATATCATTATGATTAATTAGAAAAATACAACATGTAAGTTTCCAGTAACTATAATTATGTATGAAGTGACAAGTTTGTTTTGTTTTTTTCCAGGGGTACTCCAGAGAAGCACTCTCGTATGTTTTCCTCGTGTAATGTCAAAGACTGGGATATTTCACTCAATATGGGAATAGCAGACTGTCTGAATAAAAATCCACAGGTACTGTTCATTTTTAAGGTTGTCATTTTTGGGAATAATTATTAATTTATCTGAAATTATGCAAACAATTGCACCTAAAGTCTTCCTCGACCAGTACAGCTAGAAAGTCATCGTATGACCTATCCTGTGTTGGTGCACAAAAAAAATTATCTAATTAATAAATACTTATTATTGAATATTTTATGAAATTGAACTGTGAGTAACAGAAAAAACTATTACAAGATTTCATTCTTAACTCTAGCAATTGTAAAGTCAATGATTATTTTCAGAGCACTCCTGTAATTATAGTTTAAGTTAATATAAATATGTATATGTTAGATAATAATTTCTTGTAGTTCACTGTATATTTATATATTTCAGCCAACATTCCCTCAGTTATGTGGTAACAAGCATGTAGAGAGAGGAGAGGAGTGTGACTGTGGTACACCAGAGGTAACATGTTTACTAATTGTTAATAACACATACTTCAATTAGATAAGTGAATGGTTTCATACAGTTAATTGTTTCATACTGAAGTTCATATGTTGAATATATTTCTTTTATATCTGTCAGGCAATATTAATTATTCTTGTAAGTGTTTGTTACTGTCAAAATTATCATTAGTACATATGACCTGAAGAGTGGTTATGATTTAAGTTTATGCATGTCTACAGTTCTTAATTACAGCCCTACAGATATAACAGTATAGAAAACCTGGGTGCAGTGGCTTAGTCATTAATTATCACAATTAAACTACAATATATCAATAGTTATAGATAATGTCAAGATCTTCTATTGTAAAGTTTAGTTGGGTAGACAGTTATGACAATGGTAAATTTATGTAGCATGTAACTACATGTATATGTTGAACTTATAATTGTCTATGTTGTAGGAGTGTGCAAGAACAGATCCCTGTTGTGACCCATACACCTGTCTGTTACGTCACTGGGCCCAGTGTAGAACTGGGTCATGCTGTCACAACTGTACAGTAAGTTTTCTCTTATAATCTTGTAAAACTTTGCATTTATCCTGTAAAATTTTGCATTTTAAAGCTACTGTCTAGTTGAATGACAATAAACCTATTTAAGAGGAAAAAAATAAATGGGAAACTTCATCCAACTTTTGGTATTATACATGCTAGAATTGTTAATTATATTATCTATAAAAAAAAAAATTTGAATGTCTTTCACAAGTTTTCAGACAATGTTTTTCGTGGTAATTTTAGTTGGTGCTTCAGATGATTAATGATTAATTACAGACGGTCAATTTGTTCGCATTTTTGTGCAATGTCCCTTTATATATAGACCAAAAAATGACCTTTATTCTCTCTAAGTTGCTACTTATTATATAATACATCAGTCTTGTTAATGGAGTCTGTATTGGTTTACACGTAAATGTAATGTTAAAAGAAAGTGAAAGTGTAAAAAGCACTTGTACAGTTGCAAGGAAATTACTGTTTGACATTTAAGACTTAATTTTTCTCAAGTCTGCGTCTTGTCACAATCATTGACTGTATTATATATAGAAGGAAGCCTGTCTGTATATTAGTACACTCATTACCGGGCTTTAAACTGATAGCTGCTAAATTCTAGAATTTTCAGTATCAAAAATTAAGCATGACAGATAAATTACACAAATTGACACTGGTCAAAGTTTATTAACCTTTAGTCTGCTGGTGGTAATTGAATATACCCATCGGACCATTGCAGACCAAGTTCACTAGAATATTTGTACCATCTGATCATGGTCTGCATTCAGTGAAATTTTCCCTAAATAAGATAAATGGTTCTGTCCAGATTGAAAGATAGACAAGTACAATTAAAATATATATATGACAGTAAGGGTTAATCATTGTAATCTATTCTTTCAGTACCTATCGTCAGACTATGTATGTCGGGAGAAGTCGACAGATTGTGATGTCCCAGAGTTCTGTACAGGTACAGACGGACAGTGTCCATCTAATAACTATGCCAAAAATGGACATTCTTGTAACAATAATACAGGTTATTGTATGGGTGGAGTATGTCCTACACTTGATAAACAATGTCAGCATATCTGGGGCAAAGGTAAATTAAAACTCCTATTGTGTAGCTTATGTCTAGATTTTGGCCATATTGTTTATATTTTTGGCCAGACACAGTATAATTTCTGGTGAAAGTAGGAACTCCAAATTCCAAAATTGAAAATGAATGACCTACTCAACGAGAATTCAGAAATTAAAAATATGATGACCAGAGATGGCAACATATGTAGATGTGTATATGTGGCAGTGATTAATTATGAAACTTATATAAAAAAAAATGTCAAGTAATAATATTTACAGACATTTAAGAGATAAACTACAAATAGATAAATTGTCTCTCTTGGCATTGACTGTTTTATCTTTCTTTAACTTGTTTTTAAATCAGAAGTATCTATTTTGTCCCTTCCATATTTGAACCAAAAGTTATTAGCCTTTGCCATTTGTATAAAGCAAGGCCAGCTTGCACTATCATGCAGTCTGACCAAACATTAAACTGTTGACTGACTAAATTGATTTCTCCTAATTTGATAATGGACAGCTCCAAAAATAAAAGCTGGACAAGTTTATTTCAGCAGATTATTGGATGAGAGAGCACCTGACAAGAAATACTTTTCTTCTGTATTTGAATAATCATAAATTAGTATCAGATTAGAAGGTACTGTTCAGACAGTAATTTGTTGTATATTTTATGTTTTACAGCTGGTTACAAGGCAGAATCACAATGTTTTGAGAGATTTAATCCAACGGGAAATTTCAACGGTCATTGTGGGAAAGATGACAAAACAGGCTCATATGCTAAATGCTTACCAGAGTATGTGTACATTGCTTCTTCTTTATTGATGAGTATTGTACAATTTTGTAATGTTTGTGAAGAACAATTAAAATTAAAGTTATGAAACTGGATTAAATTTGTTGCATTGTCATGATTTAAGGTTAAGATTTCAAGTTTGGACTAGCAGCTTTATATATGAAGTTATTGGTTGAATACTCAGAACAATATTTCTTGATTAACACATGCAATAAATTGCTATGGACCATGATTCTTTTCATGTTTTCTGTACAACTATGTGGGTTTTTTTTCACCAGTGTAACTAAGATCTATGATAACCATGGCACATGGACAATGCCGTTTCAAATCTATATGTTAATGTTATCTTTCAAAACCTTACATTATCTTTAGAGGGCCAACTTAAATTTGTTTAAATTTGTTTTCAGATTATAAAAGCATAATTTTCAGGCTATGTATATTATATATTTGTTTATGTTTTTCTCACAGTGATATACAGTGTGGGTTATTACATTGTTCTGGTGGTAACAAGATGCCATTGTTTGGACCAGATAAAGATTCCTCAAAAACAACATTTTCTTCAAATGGTCAGGAATACGAGTGCAAGTAAGTGATCAAATATTGATGCTTGATTGTTCTGGTCTTCATATTTCATATTACATGTACATCAGAGACAGTGAAGCTACACACTAGGATACATGGACAAGGCCTCAGTAATGAATGATTTTTTTCCTTCTTTAGAAAGGGCAAACATGAGTTTTATAAGATTTTAATTACGGTTTTAGAGCATGTAAATGCTCATCATCTGAAGAAAATATCGTTGAATGTAAAATTATATTTTATAAAAGTAGCAAAAATGCAAACAAAGTTAAATGTATATACAAAAGCACCATAACTACTTATTGCCAAAAAGCTACTGAAGCAAAAAATGGTTCCGTTAATTGGCCAGTTAGTAACATTTTAGAAGCTTTAAGAGGACACTTGAAATAACAAGCTTTTGAGAAATAAAAGAAAAAGCATTTCTGGGGCATAATGAGCCTTTAAAGTCACATTTGACAGTATACTGTATGTTACAGTTTCATAGAGTCAGAATGAAAACTGTGTTACAAACTTTATTGTAATTTTGAGAATATTAGTATGATAACAGGATCATTTTAAGCAAAGAAAAATTGTGGAACACCCAACTAGTTTTCAAGTTATCTGCCCTTGTTTTATACATGTCATATAGCTGACTTCCCTTTAAGTGATTGTGAAAAATTTCAAAAGTTGGTCAAGATTGGGTTGTTGAATTCTTTTTCTTAACCTAATCCTTTGATAATTTTATTATTTATAAACTTTTTACCAGTACAATTTTACATGAAATTCTTGATATTTCTATGGCAAACGCTTGTAATCTATGGCAAACGCTTGTAATATTGAAGAAAATAATGATACACAAAGAATAATGCATGTGAATTTATGTAACGTAATGATTTCTTTTTCTAGGACAGTTCATGGACCATCAACTCTAGATTTACCAAATCTTGGTTTAGTTTTAGATGGTACCAAATGTGGAAATGGTCTTGTTTGTATGAACAGGAAGTGCGTGCCACTTGCCAACCTGGACCCTTTAAACTGCCCAGGGTCAACTGATTCTATTTGCTCAGGAAATGGGGTAAACAAATGTTTTTTTTCATTTCATATTAGACATTTTTTTGGTATCACTACTTTTGATATGACAAAATAAACATGTCACAAGAGTTTGTGTACATGCTATTTAACTTGACAATTAAAAATTTTGACCAATGATATTTTGGAATTTAAGCCGGCTTCAAATATATGTTGATAGGGGATAATATTAAATCAATTATCATATGCATAAACATGTAAGTAAGTAAGTAAGTAAGTAAGTGAGTTTTTTTTGTAAAGATGATATTTGTAAATCAGATATATTCATATAAGCTGATATGATAAATATAGGTATATACATTGTATGATTTTATGATGCTGTAGATATGTACTAAGGAAGACACATGTTTCTGTGATGATGGTTGGGGATCAGAAGACTGTTCTGTCAAACTAAACACAACTCGTAAAATGTTATCACTAGATATGATAAAAACTACAACAACAACTACTACCATGGCAACAACAGTACAGAATGTGAATGTTATACCGTGGGATGTGCTACATAGCACAGCTTCACCGGCATCCACAGAACTGTCGTCTGCTGCAGTGGTACAAGGTATGTAAGGTTTTCAATAGTGTACAGTCTGTTTCCTTAGTAATTATTTAAAGGTTTTATGAATTTCTTAAAATAAACTTAGTCCTATAAAAACATGAGAATTTAAGCTAGTTGAAGTCTTTTAAGCTGCAATAGCAGATATCAAGTTTTATGTAGGTGAAATTCTCTAGATTAAAGTTGTCCAGACCAGGCTTTGAACTTAGAATTCTCATAAATCAAATTATACTATTTTGGTTCTTGTATATTTATGGACATGATTTTGAAATAATTAATTTTGTTATATTACAGCAGAGGAATCTGGTTGGTTAAATACTCAGTGGATGATGATAATATTAGCATCGGTGATTGGTGGTCTCGCACTTATTCTAGCATTCTCATTCATATGTTACAGGTACGTTACCTTCTGTTTTATAATGGGCCATTAATATTTCTGTTTTTCATTATAATATTTCTGGTTTTCATCAAGTTTGCCAAGTTGAACTTTGTTACATGAATATGTTCTTGTTTACTAGTCCAATAGAATTAGTATTGAACTCTACAATGTATAAAAGCCTCTTTATATCATACCACAATTTGTTTTAATATTTTGGCAGAATTTTGTTATTTTGAGTACAATATGGATTAAATATGGATTTTTGTACTTGAAAATAAAAATTTGTACAATATGGATTTGATTGGAAAAAAAATAATTTAGCCTAGATGGTGTACAATATAGATATAATATAGATCTTTGTGACTTTAAAATGAAATTTAGGCAAAAACATAATTTATATCGAATACTCACATGGTACACACACTGGAAAGTCATTGGATATACTTTACAAGATGTGAAATTAATTAGTATATACAGGAATCTATGGAAGATATAACATGTAAAATAAATTTGTATATATATATGTAGATACCTGAGGTATATATAGATACCTGAGGTATATGTTTATCTCTAATGGTTGTTTATTTTTTAAAGGAGAAGAAGTCCTGTGAAACTTGAGAAGAAGAAAAAGAAGAAGAAGAAATACAGTAAAGATGGGGAAGACAGTGATGTAGAAAGTGCTAATAAACTTATCAGTTTTGGAAGCCTGCCTTCATACAAGTATGTTCTTTATTGGTTACATCAAGTTGATAAAGAATTTGTTCTCAATTCTAGTTAGATCATGAAGACTCATTACAATTATACTTCACCTTTAATCTGTTGGAACCAAAAGTACTTTAAATACCATCAGTATAGAGCTAGACCAGCCTACTCATTGGTACAAATGTACTATGTAAACAACCCCTATACTGTTGGTTTGCTCAATGTTTGCATTTTGATAGTAAAAAAACTTGAAACAAGACTTTTCCAAATTCAAAAAGGAATGTTACAAATAATAAACAAGGCAAAATAGAATGAAACAAGGCAAAGCCATAACACAAATTCACCAGATTGAGGGTTATGGTTTATGTGAAGGTTAAACAATGCTATCCTTTTTTCTTAGCATCAAGCGATCAACAGTATAAATTGAACTCTAAATAAATATTTTAAATATTTATTACTTCTATGTGTGTGTATGCTGCAACAAAAATCTGCATACATTGTTTTATACATGAATTAAATGTTACTTGTACATTAAATGAACTGTAGATTTAATGTTTTATAAGCTATGTAGAAAAAGCCAATACAATAGTTACATGTGTTAAACATTATTAATGAGCAATTTTTTACAGGGATTACTTGTAAAAATTTCATATGTCTTCATCATATAACGGACAATTTTACAATGTACCTTATCAGATATATATTATATAGCTTTTCATCTTAAAGAATTAACCAGGGTTCCTACAGTCTTAAAAAGTGCTTAAATTTGAGTTTCTTTCTTAAAAAGTGCTTAAAAATGTAAAAAGTGCTAAAAGTCCTTGAATTTGATTACTCTCTTGAAAAGTGCTTAAAAGGTGCTTAAATTTGCTAAAGATGTGCTTGAAAATGTTTGAATCACAGAATGACATAGTTATGATAAAAATCAACAGTTAACAAAATAAAAAAAAAGATCAAATTCAGTATCAAAATCAATGAAATGTTTACTCAAGGTAACAGTAAGTGGACAAATTGCAGTTGTTTTGAACAAATCTGTATTTGATGCTCCCTTTGTTGTTCTTGTATAATGTTAGAAAATGTGTATTCAACAAAAAATGGTGAACAAACTATCCATCATAGGTTGAAGATTGTGTCGGTATATGTGCAACAAATGTGCTTGAAAAATGGGAAAACGTGTTTAAATAGTGCTTAAAAAGTCCTTGAATTTTGGCATTGGATGTCTGTACGAACCCTGTTAACTTTTTGGCTTGAATTTCAGAGATGAAAAGAAGAAAAAGAAAAAGAGAGGGAAAAAAGGCAAAAATAACAAGAAGGGAGTTAAATCTGATGATGATACTGATTTAGAGTTACCTCCTCCACCAATGATAATCTCTGACCCTCATAGTGCTAGACCTGAAAAAGGTATTCTAAAGGGTGCATACAATGGTGTGAAATATGCAAATGATAGACGTAGCAGTGAATCAAACACGGCTACATCATCGGGAAGAGATATGGACAGTGTCGGACCATATGACGAGATCGAAGAAGACACGGAAGCTGGCGAGATACAGGATATATTTAGTGGGAATTCAGACGAGCCTGAGAAATCATTAGATGGTTTAGATAACATGTTTGAATCGTCAAGTTTTGATTTTATGCTTCCACCACCTTTCAGTAACCTTGGACTTCAGAATCGCTCACCATCGCCACCAAGGAAGTTCACAGGATATGATATTCCTATGACGAATCTAGCCCATGCTCAAAGGCCAAATATGTGGAAAACAACCCTGGCCTCTCCCCCTAAATCTAGGGTTTTAAGAATGAGAAATTTAGATGAACTTTTACAGACCATTGATCGTAATACAATAGATCTGTCACCATCACCAGATGATCCTCCGGTACAGATTTCACCGTCAACTTCGGAGGATGTGAGATCCAGCTCAACTGATGATCGGCACTACACTGCAAGTAGTCATGATCCACAAAGTCCTAATTCTATAACGAGCGGGAGTACTTGTACAGCATTGAGGCCTTTACTGGGTAGTCAGTGGAGTAAATACGTACTACATCGTAACAATGGACAAACAGGTGAAAACTTTAATTTTGATGATATTGAATCACCTTTACCTCACATTAATATACCGCCACCTATGAATCCAATAAATATAAGAAGTATTTTCAACTATGGCCAAAAAGGCATTAGCAGGGATAATAATGATACCCCTCTGGGAAGCCAAAATGGTGAATGCAGTTCAAACAACGGTACTGCCAATTCTAGGAATGGGTATGAAAAGAGTTCTGGATATGGAAGTGAACATGACCCGGAAAGATTTAGTATCGAGGATATATCTCGGAACCAGTCTCGCTCAGGGTCTGCTTCCCCGCCAAATTTTAGTGCTGTTATAAGAACTGGTCCAAACCAGATTAAACTGGTTCCAGCTGGAAAGTATGGTGGATATAGTTATAATCCTATGGATAATGATCTACAGAAGCTTTTAGACGGAGTACCAAGGATTGATGCAGGGTGCTATGAACGTAGTCCAATCACAGGAAGTCAGGTCGGACCTATGACCGGCTTGAGCTCAAATACTGAAACTTGTAGCAGTGTGACTTCAGGAACCAGTACTCTAGAAACATTGAAAAATTCAATACCAGACTACTCTTCATCTGGGCTTAATTCTGAAACAAACACTCTTGTTAATTCGGAATATGAACCTTTGGATCTTTCTACAAATAGTGAAATGAAAAACAGTGTAGATGAAGGAAATCCTAACTACTCAAATATTGAAAATTATACCCCAGAATTGACTGAAAACAATAAGTTTGACAAACTGAACCAATCAATCCCAGTGCTAGCAAATGGACCCTTGCCAAACCCAAAGCCCCTTGGTGATCTTGATTTAGAAAATAAAGGAAGTGGTCCATGTATTGACAGAAGCTTGGAAGAAATTTCACAACTTGACAGTAAAAGAAATCATAAAAAGAAAAGGGACTCTGTAGATGCCCATAGACCACTAAGTTTGGCACTACAGAAAAAAATCGATTCCCCACCAGGTGCTAGTGAAACTGAGGAGTTGATGATAAATAGATACAGTGCAATTGATCCTGTCCCAGTCGATATTTGTGAATGTTGAAAATGATTAATGATTCAAAATTAATGTATAATGGGTTTTCTGATAAATATATTGTTACTGTATTGAATCATGTACATTTTGTGAATGTTTATATAGGAAAATAATGGTTTTGCTTGAATGTTATAATGGTACATTTGTATTTATTTTGTTTGATTCAAATCTTTCAGAAAATGCTGCTATTTTTTGTCTTGTAAAAAATTACATAATTTCAGATATTTTCATTTTAGTTATTCTTTTAAGATATACATACTGTAATATTATTCTAATATTTTATGGTATTGTATCCTGTCACTGTTTGTGTAAATAGAAAAAACAGTTCATGAGAAAAATAGAATCAATTTCGAAAGATTTGAAACAGACCTTGATGTGTATGATAAATGTGTTACATGTACTTTATTATAATTTTGTAATTAATATTATTATTACCTTATTTCCGCTAATTAACGCTCCTGAGCTCCTAATTAATGCAATTAATGGATTAACATTTCAAGCACATTGTGCATAGAGTTAATGGTTTATAACAAAATACAATGTACAAAAATTAGAATTCCTGGAAAGAAATGTAATAGTCTTTCTTTTAAGTAAAAGATATCTCAATGTGTCAAAGAATATTTCAAGGCACTTTAAGGAAGTGAATGTATCAGTGTGCAAAAGTTCATGTAAACTGTAGTTTTCTTAATTGTTGTTCTTTTTTTAACAAAAATTGATATAAATGAAAGACACTACATGAAAGCACTGCAATTTATCTAATTTGATTTTAAATGATTCGGTACAGAAGTATTTATTGACTTACTAATGTACATTGTGTTTTAAGGAGAGTTTCCAGAAATAATCAGCAAAGTTATCTTCACATGCATTCTCCTTAAACAAAATTATAATAGCCACATCCCATGTTAAAACATTAGAGAGCACCTGTTATCACTGGAGCAGTAATAAGGAGAAATATGGTATATGTAAATATTAGAATACACTGCCCCACTAAACTTATTGTCAAATATGGTGCAATTTATTTTCTCATTACTATCAACATGTTATATACAAATTAGTATTGTTCATCGTATAGATATATGATTACAGAAATGTGTATTTTTGGTTTTGTTTTATATTGCTGTAAATGTATAGCTTATGTATAATATATATACATATATGATCATAAAATTCTAGCAACTTATATAAGACTTATGATTCAAGTTAACAATTATTTCTTAAGACTTGTGAGTGATAATATTTTAACACTGATTTTGTTAAACATGGATTAGAGAATGATAATTTTCAGTACTTATTTTACAAGATTAGAGAATGACAATTTTTAACATTAACTTCTTTTTACAATTTGAGAAATATGATTTGTAAACAATGATTTATATAGAGTTTGATAATAAAACACTGATTTTCAAGGTTTGAGATTAAGAAAGATGATTTTAATACTTGTTTGTTAAGATTTTAGAATGATTATTTTCAAGACTGCTTTGTTAGGTAGGGTTTTGATTTTCTATATTGATTTGTAAAGATTTGAGAGTGATACTAAGTCTTGTAACACTGATTTTTTAGCTCGACTATTCGATAAGAATAAGTAGAGCTATTGCAGTCACCCGAGCGTCGACGTCGGCGTAACCACTTATGTTAAAGTTTTTGTAATAGTTCAAATATTTTCAAAGTCCATTGACATATGGCTTTGAAACTTTGCACACTTGTTTACCATCATGACCCAACCTGTAAACAGGAGAAGGTAACTCTATCAAGCATTTTGACAGAATTATGCCCTTTTCGACTTAGAATTTACGTTAAAGTTTTGTAATAGGTTTCAAATATTTTCAAAGTTCATAGACATATGGCTTTGAAACTTTGCACACTTGTTCACCATCATGACCCCAACCTGTAGACAGGAGGAGGTAAACTCTATCAAGCATTTTGACAGAATAATGCCCCTTTTTTCAACTTAGAATTTACGTTAAAAGTTTTTGTAATAGTTCAAATATTTTCAAAGTCCATTGACATATGGCTTTGAAACTTTGCACACTTGTTCAACCATCATGACCCCAACCTGTAAACAGGGGAGGTAAACTCTATCAAGCATTTTGACAGAATTATGCCCCTTTTTTCACTTAGAATTTACGTTAAAGTTTTTGTAATAGTTCAAATATTTTCAAAGTCCATTGACATATGGCTTTGAAAACTGTGCACACTTGTTCAATCATCATGACCCTAACCTGTAAACAGGAGGAGGGTAACTCTATCAAGCATTTGACAGAATTATGCCCCCCTTTTTCGACTCTAGAATTTACGTTTAAAGTTTTTTGTAATAGTTCAAATATTTTCAAAGTCCATTGACATATGGCTTTGAAACTTTGCACACTTGTTCACCATCATGACCCCAACCTGTAAACAGGAGAAGGTAACTGTATCAAGCATTTTTTTTACTATCAAGCACTAAGAATAGTCGAGCGTTGCTGTCCTACTGACAGCTCTTGTTAAGGGTTTGAGATTGATAATTTTCAAGACTTAAAGACTTATTTGTCTGTCATAGTTTTTTAACACTAATATTTCAAAATTTATATATACTTGGCAGAAGCTAGAAGATTGTTGTTAAAAGGCAGGCAATTTATTTAGAAAGCAGTTGTTGATTATAACAATTTTTATTACCAATACAGTTATACAAGTATTTCTTCTTATATTATAAATTTTTTTAAGATGATTACCCTTATTTTTTACATCCTATAATATTATTTTTTCAAGAAGATTATTTTTATTTAGATATTGAAAATTTTACATGCCAGTAACAGCAAACCTCTATATGAAGGGTTTATTTTTCATATATTCATTATATATACAAATTGTTCAGTATTACATTGTAAGATCATTGTGCTTGTCGGTGAACTATTACTGACTGTAACTGAGTGTAACATTACTACCATAGTATTAGATATCCAAATGCATGTGTTCCTCTTTCATAGAGTTGCCTACTAAGTAATAATATATCATATTTCTATTCTTGTTCATTTAACATAAGTAACATTTATTTCCATGACTATATATTACAGGGAGTATGTTATATAAAGATCTGATTTGTTACTTTTGAATGATTCTGTCTAAATTGTAAGTTTAAAAGATTTTCATTTGTTAATCTGCAATTTCTGAAGAAAAAAAAAGATTATTCAACATGGTATTAATAATAACATATAAATTGTATCATTAATTATTACTTACATCTAGTTCTTTACCTACCATGTTAACACACTAAGTTGTGATGGAGGTAAAACAAAAATTAAATTTCTTGAACATCTTGTATTAACCCTTACAATGTTAAATATCTTAAATGGACTTGGTTAATTTGGACAAAACCATTCATCATTTTTTGAGAGAAATTTCCAAATATGTTCTGGCTAAATAGTGAACAGTGCAGACCATACTGGGTTTTCATTAATAACAGATTGGGGATCCATATCATAGGTTGAAATGGTTCAAAAAATCTCTTGTATTTTCAATCTGTAAATTAAAATATCTTCCTTGACCCTTGGCTAAATAAGTTGATTACAATCTCAGATAAAAGAAATATGAAAACCCTGACTATGATCAGATGTCATAGATTTGCCAGGTGATCTTGGTTTGTACTGGTTACATTGGTGAAATCTGTCACTGCTAGCAGGGTAAGCGTGAATTAACTATTATAGTGTCACCTTTATTCTGTCAAGGTTATCATGGCTCTCTTGTTTTAAAAATCTTTTACTTTTGTGTTCTTGATATTTATTTTATTTTGTTTTTGTCCATGTTTGTCATCGAGCAGCATAATTTTTACTTTAGTGCCATCGATTTTACCAAATTTACAATACATCATACATGTACATGCATGTAATCAAAAAAAATTTCATAAAAGATGTATGCTTACCTTGAAATAATTGTATACTCTTGATACAGTAAAACCTGGGAATAAAGGTCATTCAAAGGTGAGACCTTTACGGACAAGTGGTCTTTTTTCAGAGTTTTCTCTGTTGTATTTGTATGGATGGAGGTTTGTTAAAGAGTTACCTTTATTTACATGATGGTCTTTATTTGGAGTTGGTCTTTTACATAGGTTTGGCTGTATTATATATGGGTACTCCTCTTACATTACATAAGATAACATAAATGTATAGACTGTACTTGTATGGGGTTTATATATTAAAGTCAGTTTCATTCTTAATTATTTTATGATTATTTACTTACACACATGATCATTTTTGTATGAATTTAATACCATAAAAACCAAACTTGTATATTTTCATTTTTAACATACCTCTATGTCTCAAACTTTTATCAGTTTTGCTATTTTACTTATTTTATTTTATTTTTTGTATATTTTTTGATGACAGATTTACTTTTTATAAATTTACAAACTTTTAAAACCACTTGAGCCAGGAGTGTACTTCATGATTTTAACATAATCATAAGTGTTTACTTTATTTATAGCTTTAGAGATAAATCATTTATTTTTAAAGCAAGGTTATTCACAATTTCTATCTGTTATCTTTTACATGCTTTTTTAATGTCTTAGATTTACTTGCTGTGAGACAATATTTTTATAAACTTTTGTTATGAATATTTTATGTTTCAGGCATATTTTTGAAATTTTTTGCATGTTATCATCCTGTTATCAATTAAAACAAGAATTTTATTTACATATTACGATTTGAATAAGGATAAAATAGGAAACTATCACAAAACCTTTGTATAAAGGGCTTTCTGATAACGACTTGTCACTGTAGATTCCAGCTGGGTGAAGGTTGAACTTAATGATCCCCAGGAGTTCGATCCCCGGGAGATGCTTTGGTAGTTTAGCACGTAGGAAGGTAGTCTAGTACTGGTGTAACTCTCTAGGAACGATGGTTAGGAGACTACCCACCTATATAACTGAAATACTGTTGGAAAAAGGCGTAAAATGAAACAAACAAACAAACATAATGTTTTTCATATTTTTTAACTGGTATCTGTTTTTATTTGTCATGTACCAAAGTTTTTACGACAACATTTTTTGTACAGCTATCTGATGTTTTATATTATCATATTTTGTAATAATAGATGTACATGTTAAGATCTGATAAATAATTTATGCTAATCTAGTCAATTACTGTACTCATTATCATTCATATATTTCAGTTTGTGTCTTATATGCTTCCATTTTTTGTATGCATTGGCTATCATTCACTATAGTGTATTATATAGGTACAAATAGAGCCCTGAGTGCTTAGACTTAAAAGCTTTTTAAAATATGTTTTGTTTGCTGTCTACAGTAAATATTAAATTCATGGGGCTTGTTTCATTATTTATATATGAAAGAGATAATGCATTTAAATGCATTAATAATAATTTTGTCTATAATTACCAATACAAATTTTGATTTTTTTTTTGTTCAAATATAATTACATGAAACCAGTAAATGTGAATATGGGATATCATGGGGTACCTAAGTCGTGTTTTTGAACTTTCATAGGTAGTGTATTTATTTTACACCTGAACAAATCTAATAGATATATTGTTGCGTAAACTTATGACTGAATTTACAATATTTGACTACAAGAAAACTGTACAGGAATTAATAAATCACAAATTGAAGTAGATTTTGTTATCTATCTTGAGTATCTTGTTCATAAATCATTGATATTTTACTCTCATGTTTAAGGATTATTTTGTGTCGCATAGTGTATGTAAAATAATGAAAAATAGTAATGTATTGACATTTTGTTGTGATGATTATATTATTTACATGTAATTGTCTGTTATAGTGTGACCTGTGCCACAACCAGTGTCAACTAAGAACATATGATATAAAACCTGTATTAAAAGACCACTTTGTATACACTAACCATTTGTTTTACTGACTACAACAATGGATAAAGTCAATGAAAGTGAAAAAAAATGTTATTGTATGTCTTAGTTTATATCAAATAATTCTTGTACATAAGAGTTGTAAATTCATCTTCCATTGAAGTTAATTATTACTGAAAGTCAGATACAAAATACAGATTTTTTTAAAGTTATCCACACAAAAAAAAAGTTTATAAAAATGTCAGCTGTTAAACAATTTTTATCATGTTTACTGGTCAGGACATATATTTTCAAGACTTTATTCATTAGAACCAGGTACTTATTACATGATTGTAATTTATAAGGATTTATAAAAGTAAAGTTATTTTACTCTTGTATATGTATAATTATGTCCCACTGTTTATGAAATATGCATTTATATTAGAATTGTACAAATTAGAAAACCCTAGAAATTTTAACCACAGTGTTTTATACTTGAAAAGTGATGGCTCGTATTTGACATTTTTATATTGTTTCATTTTGAAATTCAAAGTCAGAATAATAAAAGGTAAAAGTGAACTATCTTGGTTTTTGTTTTCTTTCTATACTGAAAAAAATACCACAAAAGTTTTTGCTCAAGTGCTTTAGTGTCCACGTTTTGGGGAAAGCAACGATTTAAAAGGAACCATTATCGACTTGGAGTTCAGAAGATCAAAGGTCAAGGACACCAATAATAATAACAACAACATGATCTCTTAGTGTTTGTCTTTAACTAATACATGACCCTATTAATTTTGAGGTCAATAGGTCACAGTGGCTAATGATTTTGAGTTAATGGGATCAAAAGGCACAGTGGGACGTCTTATAAGTAACAAGCAATTATCATAGTATTGCAAGCAATCCATAAGTCCCCTACCGGTAAGAACCCCATCAACAATCTGAAGGGCCAT